CATTTCGTTTTGTCTGAAAATTCCCGATAGTAGCATTTCGTTTCTCTGATATTTCGCATACATAGCTGAAATTTCTGAAGTTAGTATTTTCGTTCTCTAGGCATATTGGGATAACGGTAGAAGTGGTCATATTCTCGGAAACTGAAATTATTCTTTTCTGAAAATCGCATTTCCATTCTATCTCGCAAACTTTTTTTTGAAAACCGAATCTTGCGAAGTCTAACAATATTGCGTTAGGCATATTCATAGGTTGCTATATTCTCAGAAACTGGATTTCGTTCGTTTCTGAAAATCGCATCTTTACTCCATTTCGCAAAAAAAAAATTTCAAGATCGCAGTTTGTAAAAGCCGAAACTTTGTGGAACCTAGCCTAGATCTCGTTCATAATACTCTTCTGACATATCCTACTCATCAAAGATCGACAGATATATACAAAAAAAAAAAAAAAAGAAAGGAAGTAGTCCTCTTTTATTTTTATTTTATTTTATCTGTTAATTAGGGCCGGAGGAAAGTATTGTTGGGTTGGTTTCCTACCTGCGTTTTTCCCTCCCACCCACCCTTTGCATGCATTTTCGGGTTGGTACAGTGACACGTCAGCTACAGTGACACGTCAGCAGTGCCACGTCAGACACAGTGACACGCCAGCTACAGTGACACGTCAGCAGGCCACGTCAATAGTGACACGTCAGCTACAGTGACACGTCAGCAGTGCCACGTCAGACACAGTGACACGTCAGACACAGTGCCACGTCAGCAGCGCCATGTCACACAGTGCCACGTAAGCAGTGCCACGTTAGCAGTGCCACGTCAGACACAGTGCCACGTCAACAGGGCCACATCAGACACAGTGCCACGTCAGCAACATGACGGGCCTGCCAGGCCAACTGGCCAATGAGCCCATTGTCGACTACAAAAAGCCCTTCCAGGCTTAGCTCGTTGCAATCGAGGCTGAGGAACAACGCCAGCTGGCAGTCAAGGCTGCCCAGCTACAGGCTGAAGGAGCGGCAACAAGCAGAGAAGCTGCGGCTATAGGCCGAAGCAGACGCAGATGCCCAGGCTCGGCGCAAGGAAGCCCAGGATCTGCTGCAGTGGCATGAAGCAGCCAGCATCGACAGACTCAAGTTTTGGCACTTTGAACCGAACGGCGACGAGGCAACACCGGAAGAGAAGCATAGGGAGTTCCTCTTCAAACTCGTGACACGGTTCTTGTGTGCTTGCAACTACCAACGGTCCGAGTTGGAGAAGCAGTACCAGAACCTGACGCAACAGCATCAGGAGTTGGCGACGCTCCGCCGCACAATGCAGAGCCACGAGGACGCAACTCGGGCACTCAATGCCCGAATACTGGACCTGGAGAAGGTTGTACCAGGACCAGATGCTGGCGCTTCCAGTAGTGCATCCTCTAGCCGCCAACTAGAGGAACGCGTTGACCACGTAGTGGAAATGCTCGGCGACATCAGCACCTTCGCTGCGCCGACCACCATCAGCAGCTTGCTGCATACCTTGAAGACCGAGGTCCAGCAGTTGCAGTCGACGAACGCGGATGACAATCCGAAGATGTACAAGATGCCAACTTTCCAACTGGACAAGTTCGACGACTACACGCAGCAGGATCCGGTCCTCTGGTGGGAAGCATTCACAACGCAACTCAGGATTCTGCCAGTAGCCAAGCATGCGTACATCGGCGCCCTGTTCCTGAACTCAAAGGGCGGATGCCAGACCTGGTTGAGCCACCTGGCAACCTCTCACGGCGTCGACGTACCGGACTTGAAGGACAAGATCACATGGGAGGAACTGACACGGCTGTGGAAGAAGCGGTTCATCGTCGACGACGCGCCGACACTCGCCATCAACCGTTTGTTCACCATGTCATAGGGCAACACTGCAACACGGGATTGGCTCACGGAGTGGCAGAAGATTGCGGCGGTGCCCAATCTGGAATTGGCATTCACGCATCTACACCGCGAGTTCTACAACCTGTGCGGCATTGAGCCAGGCTCTTGGTGATCGCGAGCAGTACTCCACTTTCGCCGAGATTATCGACAAGGCGAGAGAGATCATCAAGACCAACAGGTCAGCTGCACACGAGAAATCAACATGGCAGCCGACCTATGTGGAGAAGGTACGAACTGGTCCACGACAGCAGCACTTCGCTGCAGTCCAGTCGGACAGTGGAGATAACCCAGCTGCCACTCCAGCATCAAGCGACGGAGATTAGGTGGCTGCTGTCCAGCCGTGAAGCAACAACAAGTCCCGCAACAATGGGAAGGCGAAATCCGCATCGCAGGCCGGAAATGGACAGCCAGTACAA